CTGATTTTCTGGATATAGATCTATGTTTGTTAGGGAAGATTTTCATGACCCAAGTGCAGCTTTTGTATATTTAAGATCTTTTTTGGTCTTCACAAGCTTCTAGAATGAATTTCTCTGTCCAATGCTTATAGAATCAAGTTATCTGGTCAAGCAAAGTTCTACTATGATTTTGTTATTTTTTAATTTAAATCTTTCTTGCATCTTCTTTTGATTGTTTATTATGTCATTCAGCAAATTACAGCTTTTGATATCAATTCTCAATTGTCTGCTTTCACCATAGCTTGGATTGTGTTTCACTTGTCAAATGCAGACGGATCCAAACTGGAGTAATTTCTTATACGATTCAGTGACTAAAACAATCAATCTCATTGACTTTGGAGCTGCACGGGATTACCCTAAACGTTTTGTTGATGACTATTTGAGAATGGTAAGTACTCATCTTGAGCCTCGAGCTGCTTTCATGAATGTTTTATTTGCAGCATATCTAGGAATGTGCCATAACTAATATAATTTATCCTCCAAGATGGTTGCAAAACGAGGATCGTACTCTGACCGTTCTATTTTGTAATATTCTTCCATTATATTGTGCTGATCTACCTTGGGGATTCCACATGCATATTTCTTTAGGTTCTTGCATGTGCAAATGGTGACAGAGATGTGGTGATTGAGATGTCGAAGAGACTAGGGTTTCTCACAGGAACAGAATCAGAAATAATGCTAGACGCTCATGTCCAGGCTAGTTTTGTTGTTGGATTGCCGTTTGCTAAGCCTGGTGGTTATGATTTCTGCTCCACCAATATTACTCAAAGCATTTCAAACCTTGGGGCAACCATGTTGAAGCACAGGCTCACACCACCACCTGATGAGGTCTACAGTCTCCATCGGAAGCTTTCGGGTGCTTTCCTGGCCTGTATCAAGCTTGGGGCAGTAGTACCATGTGGAGAACTCTTACTCAAAGTGTACAACGAGTATCAGTTTGGTGAAGACAGTATTTCAATCTTGTCAAATAGGTCCGTTTCCTGATAAAATGATAGTCTAGGAAATTTTTATGATTCACGTATTTTGATTTTTGTCCAAATCTATAATTATATATGGGCTGTTGTCCATCCAATCATTCATTTATAAGCTTGTTGCCTCATTATCAGGGTAAGTTTGTGTTGTATTTCTCCCATAATCAGCTTATAGAATGTATTCTGATAATAGCAGAGGGGATGCAGTGATTTCAGCAAACGGCTTTTTGTACTTTGTTTCAGTATAATTTCAATTTTGTCGATGTCTTAAAATATAGTTTCCCTTGCCACTTAACTCTTTGCTTTTAATGATTTTCTTTCATATTTTGTGCGTAGAAATGACTTATGGCTTATATCCATGCATCCTTTCCACATATTTAACCAAACCTAGAAAGCAATTCAACGTGTAAAAAGAGTGGAGGCGACTCAGCTAGATGTGATGTTAAACAAGACTCACTTACTATCCTATCCTGTTAGGGCTATTGTCTTTAAACCGGATTGGATACTTAAGAGCTTAAGTAAACATGGAAAAGCAAAATTTAAAGACCAAATTGAGACATTGGAGAGCACACGAGCTAGGTTGGGCTCTTGGCAGTTTTCAAGTTATATAATTATTCTACACTCATCTCGCCTCTCTAGGTGCTCGGTATTTATGGTAACAAATTTTATTGGCACACTCATTCCCTTGAGAGCTTGTTGAGCTGTTGGCATTTCCCCTGATACATTTAAAACACAAACACGTGCAATTTTGCGTACACTTGG